AGGTAACAAGCAATGGAACATGCCAGGAAGACGCGCCGCGGAACGTTCCAAGGGACGCGCCAGGCGACGTGCCAAGGGACGTGCCACTTGGAGGCACCGCGGGACGTGTGTATATATATATATATATATATATATGTGTGCCCATACACACATATATACGTATTGGTGTATATACATATATATATATATGCTACACACATTCCCCGAACCCTCTTTTTCACGAAAAAGAGCGGTGGCACCCCGTTGTTTATCGAGGGTCCAAGATGGGGGGCAAACTTTCCTCGAGCGGGCAAGCGAAAAATGCACTTGCTCAACTGGGCCCCCCCGGCGGCGACTCCGGCGGCGCCCCTGGCGCGTTCCGCGCGCCAGGGAGGGGGGTCCAGCGCCGATCCGAAAAATCCGCGCAGACCTCCGAATATATGTTTATGCCACTTTTTGTCCCCGTAGTAAAACGCAAAGAACGGAAGGGGTTGGCATAGGCACCACCCCCACCAGAGAGGAACATCCGAACCGTTCATTTTCCGAGGGCCGCGCCGACGGGCGTGCCGGGCGCGGGGCGCTCCAGCCGTCTGGGTGGAGGCTCCAGCCCCCGGCACGCTGCGAGGAAAACCAAGCAGGGCGGGCGGGCGGACAGAGAGAGTCAAAATGGCCGCGGGCGCTGCGAGCATGCCCACCGCCGGTGCCAACGTGCCCCCAGCACTAAGCAAAATTGCCGAACGCACGCGGCACAGGCGCCCCCGCCCGAGAGGAGCATCGGAACCGCTCATTTTCCGAGCGCCGCGACGACGGGCGTGCCGGGCGCGGGGCGTTCCAGCCCTCTGGGTGGAGGCTCTGGCCCCTGATCGCCCCTGCCGTCCGGCACCTCCACCATGCAACCCCTCAAACAACGGGCGCAAGCGACCCGATGTTCGCCGGGGGCCATCGCGCGCGCGGCCGACCCGAACCTCCAGCCGCACCGCGTCACCCATGCAACCGCGGGCATGGTTGGCGGCCCGACGAGGGTGGCGCGCAATACGCCAGACTCGCGGTTACGCACCTGCCCGACCAGGCCAGATCCGTCAGCGCAGGCGGACAGTGCCTGCTCACCCGCCTCTCGGCGAACCACGGCGTCCTGCAGTTCACTGCGTAACCACTGGCGTCCCAGCTCCGAGAGCGCCTCGCTGAGGATCATGTCGACGAGCCCCTCCGGGATCGACTGGCTGCGGCGGAACTCACGGAGCTCGGATCGCAAGTCCGCGACTTGGTCAAGCACGGACTCGAGGTCGAGCTTGCTGCTGGCGCGTCTGGCCCACGCAGCCGCCGCGTCCAGCGACGCCTCTCTCACGAGGGAGGGAGGGAGGGAGGGAGTGAGGGAGTGAGGGAGTGAGGGAGTGAGGGAGGGAGGGAGAGAGGAGGAGGAGGAGGAGGAGGAGGAGGAAGAGGAGGAGGATTGTTTTAACATGCGCCGCAGCAGAGCACTTCCAACCACCAGTCAAACAGGCTGAGCGGCGAGGCGCGAAGCGCTCCCACTCCTGAGTCGCGCAAGCGAGGCCAGGAGCAGAGAGCAGGCGACAGGCCAGCACGAAGCCAATGGCATCCACGAGCCCAGGGGGGACCAACCGCCCCCCCAGGGCTCACGGGCACAGAGCGGCCATCGTGCTGGACAGAATAGTCACCCTGGGCCGCTTCGGATGGCGGCCAGACAAGAGTTTAGCCCAGGCGTCCGGTGTCTTGGGCAGGCCATCCTTGTTGACAGGAGGGCCCGCGCAACGACTCGCGAGATGAGCGAGCCGCAACCCTGAGGTGTAGCTCTTGCACACCTGACAAAAGCAAATGAAAGAATCGTGGCTGCAATCCACTGCCCAACACCTGAGGCCGAGCAGTAACAGACAAGTGACGTTGACGCGGCAGTGGTGAAAACAGACGCCAGGAGGCGGCTCTGCCGCAGAGCGCCTCGCGCGCAGACGCTGTGTGCACTGCCAGAGAGAATCCACCCTCGCCCAACGATGGCCCGATCGGGCCTCGGTAGCGGGACGCGGAAGGACGATCAATGCACCCCCTTGAGCTCCAGGCGAGGCCAGAGCGGGAGGAGGTGAGCAGACAAACGCACCACCGCTTTGGCAACCTTGATATCACGGCCGACCAACACTTGCAGTTCGGGCGAGGCCTCGGGATGCTGGAGGGCTCCTCGCTTCACAGCAAGGTCGGCCGCATGGTTGCCCAAGCGGTGAAAAGCCTCCAGAGGAGGCAACTCAGCTTCGAAACTTTGGTGAGCTTTCACCTAGGTTAAGCTGCGGACCAAGGAGAACTGGGAAAGTGTTTGCATGACCATCCCGCTGTAGACCAGCTTGTAGCTGATCTGATTGCAGAAACCAGGGGCATGATACTGCTTATGCACATTCAGGCAATCGGTATAGAAATCGGTGGGCCCACCCATCAAGAACACGGCGCCTCCGAGGGCCGAATACTCCCCTCCCTGGCTGGTTTGGGGCGTGGGGTTCCAGACGGAGGCCGAAACCGTGCAGAGAGGTGAAGTGGCCTCCTGATCGTCAAAAACAGAAATCCCCCACTCCGCTCTCGAGAGCTCTCGCACTGGATGCTTGAAACACGATGCGTCGAGGAAAATGTGGCCTTCAAATCCTCCACCCCGACGCTCGGGGTCTTCGTGCCATTGAATGTCTACTCCAGCGTCCGAGAGCGGGGGGGGGGGGGGGGGGAAATATCCCCTGGGTGTCGGAAAAGGCCTCTGGTGAACAGAAGGAGGTCCACGTTGGGTTCCTGAGAGGCTTCTAACAACCAGGGGTCTACAAGAGAGGCTTTGAGCTCCGAACAAGCACTGCACCTCCAGAGCCTATGATACAGAGAGCCGGGCGCACCACAGAGCACACACTTAGGGCAACGCTGATATCCTAAGGAGATGGCCTTATCACGGGTCCACGTAGCCCCACAGAGAACCGCCTTGATGGAGCCCCTCTGGATCTTATCGAACTTCGAAGATCGAGTAGCTGAAACCATCACGTCGAAGCACAGGCGCTGAGGGGCCCCCAAGGTATTGCTGGCTGATCTCTCCAGGGACCGCAGCACTCCTTCACGCAACAGCTTCTTCAAGAGGGCAGGAGACGTGACTGGCAACTATATTTCCTGCTGCAGGTCATTGATCATAGTGTAGAGATCCTTCATCTGCCAGTCGACCCTGCACAAAGACAGCTTCATGGCGCCCACGGGGCCGCCACAGGACCTCCACGAGAGATCCTTGCCGAACGAGGCGCTCCACGCTGAGCGCAGTGCAGCACAAGAGAGAGAAAGAGTAGTGATCTTGCTGGCGGTGATCCACACCTCTTTGCCCCAGCGGACTGCCGGTGCCACTGCCGAAAGCCATGCTGGGTCATTTTCCGAAATTATAAGAATCGAAAACGATATGCTCCCTGCTGAAGGCTGCATAGTACGACCGATCGACCGACGTACAGTAAGCCAGGCACGGGACCCGCTGTACATATCAGCTTGCATCTCCTGCCCAAGTCGGGCTTGAGCTTGGTCAACCTCTTAACCCTGCGGCTAAACATCGCGACTCGTTTCTTGGCGGTAGCTCCACGACCCGAAGAACGACGAGGTTTCCCTTGAGTATCATCGATCCCCAGGTTGGCGACCTCCGTCGTAATAGGCCCAGCGAGGCCTCCCAAGATACCACGAAGCCGATGAGCGACATGCGGAGATGACGAAATGCGACAAGCCTTGTCAGCAGTGACCCCCGAGTTGCGATCGATCCACATCGAACGCTTGCAATCAAAGGTGAGGACGCGGTGCAAAGCCCGAGACGACGAGGCCAGGTCTCTGACAACAGTCTCGACGGAGCCGACGCAATTGGAGGAGGAGGAGGAGGAGGAGGGAGGGAGGGAGGAGGAGGGGGAGGGAGAGGGGGAGGGGGAGGAGGGGGAGGAGGAGGAGGAGGAGGGGGAGGAGGAGGAGGAGGAGGAGGGAGGGAGGGAGCCCCAGCGCCCCAGAAGCTGGATCGCTCACAGGTCGACTCCGAGGCGCGCCAGGCTTTGCGCCCCCGGTGGGCCGAAGGCCGTGGCCCCCGCGACGCGCTCGGAACCGCCGGGCGCCGCCGCGGGGGCGCCGAGGGCGGCGGCAGCATGGAGGATGGCCGCAGTCATCGCCTCCTTACAGACCACCTCGCCAATTTTGAAGGGGCCCCAGGACACACAAATACATGCACACAAAGAAAAACATCCCCCATATTTCCCATAGTTTCGGGGTTCTGGTCTTCCCCCCCATTTCCCATCTTTTCCCATATTTTCTTCGGGATCGACGATTCATTGTGTCTGTGTGTTTTTTCCCTCCTGATCCTTACAGACCACCTCACCAATCTCGGCGGGAAAGACAAGGAAGTCTCATTCCGCGACGCCCCCCCAAGCCGGAGCGCTGGGAATTTGCGCCGCAGCAGCAAGATCTGGTCCCAAACGGCACGTGCTGGGCACGACGGGCGGGGATGCACGAACACCCGCGCGCCCGCGCCACGCCACGTCCGTCTTTGCCTCTTGGGGAGCGGCCCGCGAAGAGCGCCGTCCCCGATGGAGGCCGAAGCTGGCGGCGCGTCGACGAAACCACCGAGATCCACCGCGAGAGCCGCAGAGAAGCCCAAGATGGACAACCTACCAGACCACCCCAACTCAACCCGAAGACCCGAATTTCGGGTTGGGGGGGGATGCGGGTTCCATACGTGTTTTCTCGGTGTTCCCTGGCCCCCCCCCACTAGGAATGGAGGGCAACCTGGGGCCTTCGGGTCGGGTTGGGGTGGTTTGGTGGGTGGTGAAAGATGGGGTCGGGTTGGGGTGGTTTGGTGGGTGGTGAAAGATGGACCGGCAGGGACACAGAGAGAGTCGCACGCCAGCGCTGGAGCCAAAATGGCCGCGGGCGTTGCGAGCATGCCCGCCGCTGGTGCCAAGGCGCCCCTAGCACTAAGCAACATTGCCTCATGCACACCGAACCCACATTCAGGGGAGCGACGCTGGTGTTGGTGCCGCAGTCGGTGCCGGCGTCGGATCACGGCAAATCGCTGAGTACTGGCCATTGTTGGCGGACGCGTTGGTGGTCGTGATGGCCCAGTAAGTTCCAGCATAGGGCAACTTAACCCAGCATCCTGGCGGCGTCCATTCCCACGAACCCGTCATTCCCTTCGCATACGCAATAATACCTACCGATGCAACAGCGCTCTCGCACTCCGCCGCCTGCCAAATCCTCTCGGAGACGGGGCAATTTCCGCCAGCAATTGTGTAATAGGTCGCCGCCTGCGTAGGGGAAATCTGTGGGAGTACACTTCAAACGCGAAGGCTTCGAGCCCACAAAGAGGGGCAAGCGACAGAAATGTACGTAAAACATCCGGGAGTTCAGATCTGGTAGACGGGCAAAACATAATGATATAGGTACAACGCATCAGGATCCGAACCCGAGGAAAACGGCAATATATCACAATATACATATACAACAGGAAGGTTCTTCGAGCCACAAAAGACGGGCAATATATATAGGAATAGACGGAAACACAGCAGCGTTCAAGCACCAAGAAAGGGCTAGTCAAACATGATCGACCCACGAACCCGGAAAGGAATACAGAAATGTAAGGCATGGCAACGCTTCAAAGACACCTGATTGGGCGACGGGCACATGCAATGCTGAACGTGTCGGTTTTGATGTACCGTGCCGAGGGCTGTGCTGTGCTGCGCCGTGCTGAATTGGCGATGTGCTCTATAGCGTTGTGGATCGAGCCCTCCTTTGCATCCAAGCTCGAGTTGCCTGGGCACATTGCAATTGCCCCAGAGCTAATTGACAGGGGGACATGCCAGGAAAACGCGCCGTGGAACGTCCCAAGAGACGCGCCAGGCGACGTGCCAAGCGACGTGCCATGGGGACGCACCGTGGGACGTGCCAAGGGGACGCGCCACGGAACGTGCCAATGGACGTGCCCGCGGGACGTGCCAGGGGACTCGCCGCGCGACGTGCCAAGGAGACTCCCCACGGGACGCGCCACGGAACGTGCCAGGTTGCAGTGCTAAGTGTATCGATCTTGATGTACCATGCCGAGGGCTGTGCTGCTATGCTGCGCCGTGCTGAGCTGCAATGTGCCACGCCGCGGTTGTGCTATATAGCGTGGTGGATCGAGTCCTTCGTTGCATCCGAGTCCAGACCGAACAGATCTGGATCTTCAGCTCGAGCTGCCTGAGCACACAGTAGCTGCCCCAGAGCTCATTCACAGGGGGGCATGCCAGGGGACGTGCCATGGGGACGCACCGCGGGACATGCCAAGGGGACACGCTACGGAGCGTCAAAATACGTGGCCCTTGCTCGGGACAACCATGTTAGATATCCCCCTGGATGGCCTGGACACCAAAAAACACACGGTGCCAGCTCGGGAAACCATGTTAGATACACCCCTGAGTAACCTGGACACGTTAAAACACGTGGTCCTTGCTCAGAACAATCATGTTAGATACCCCCCATGGGTGGCCTGGATACGTAAACAACACGTGGTTCCAGGTCGGGACAGCCTTGTTAGAGATCTCCCTGGGTGGCTTGGACAACTAAAAAACATGTGTTACAGCGCGGGACCACCATGTTAGATACCCCCCTGGGTGGCCTGCACATGAAATATGGTCGACCCACGAACCCGGAAAAGAATACAGAAATGTCAGACATGACAACGTTTCAAAAACACCTGACTGGGCGACGGGCAAATGACATGCTTAGTGTTTCGATCTTGGTGTACCGTGCCGAGGGCTGTGCTGGGCAGCGCCGTGCTGAACTGCGATGTGCCATGCCGCGATTGTGCTCTATAGCGTTGTGAATCGAGTCCTCCTTTGAATCCGAGTCCAGACCGAACAGATCTGGATCTTCAGCTCAAGCTGCCTGAGCACACAGTAGCTGCCCCAGAGCTAATTCACAGCAGAACATGCCAGGAGGACGCGCCGCGGGACGTGCCAAAGGGACGCGACAGGCGACGTGCCAGGGGGACGTGCCATGGGGACGCACCGCGGGACGTGCCAAGGGGACGCGCTACGGAACGTGCCAATGGACGTGCCACGGGACGTGCCAAGGGACGCCGCGCGACGTGCCAAGGGAACTCGCCACGGGACGCGTCACGAAACGTGCCAGGGAACGTGCCAAATTGCAATGCTGAACGTACCGATCTTGATGTACCTTGCCGAAGGCTGTGCTGTGCTGCGATATGCCATGCCGCGATTGTGCTCTAAAGCGTTGTGGATCGAGTCCTCCTTTGCATCCGAGTCCAGACCGAACAGATATGGATCTCAAGACCGAGCTGCCTGAACACATAGTAGCTGCCCCAGAGCTCATTGATAGGGAGACATGCCAGGAGGACGCGCCGCGGGACGTGCCAGAGGGACGCGACAGCCGACGTTCCATGGAACGTGCCATGGGGACACACCGCGGGACGTGCCAAGGGGACGCGCTACGGAACCTGCTGGGGACAAGCGTTTCGCTCGAGACATCCTGCCCGAATCCTCCTGCTAGACATCCGCCTGGGCGACTTGGACAGATAAAACGAGCGTTTCGCTCAACACATCCTCAACACATCCTCATGCTAGACATCCGCCTGGGAGAACTGGACACGTGAAAACAAGTGGTTCGCTCGAGACATTCTCAACACCTCGTCAGATTAGACGTGCGCCTGGGTGATCTGGGCACGCGAAACCAGGCGTCTCGTTCGAGACGTTATCAACACCTCCTCATGCTAGACATCCGCCTGGGCGACCTGAACACGCTCAAACAAGCGTCTCGATCGAGACTTCCGCAACACATCCTTATGCTAGACATCTGCCTGGTCGACTTGGACGCGTGAAACCAGGCGTCTCGCTCGAGACAACCTCAAGATCTGGGCACGTGAAACCAACTAGTTCACCTGAGACATCCTCTGAATTCTGTTCCCAGGAGAGGAACAGACTATAACACAGAACAGCGTTTGGCTCGAGACATCCTCAGCACATTATGTAAAACAAGCGTCTCGCCCGGGACATCCTCAAACACACTTTCACCGGCCCTCTTCCCACCTCGTTCTTCACCGCAAGTAATTTCGCCCAGCCTTCTTCCCGTCGATTCTGGGGGCAAACCTACGAAAGAGCCCTTGGCCCGCGCCTTTTCCGGGAAACACCAAGAAGGAAAATCGGCGGTGTGTGCCTTCTCGCCTTGTTGCTTCCGATGGGCTCTTGGGCCATCAGGATAACCCCTATGACGGCCCAAGAGAGCCCCCAGAGGGCCCCAACAGCGCCCAAGAGCACCCCAGGAGCGCCCCAAGAGGGCCCCAAGACGCACTTGTTGAGCATCCGATGGAGGGGAGGGCTGGCTAAAGTTAGGACCTCCCCTTTTGGGAGCCTCTGGGCCCGATATCGCCCCAAAAGGCATCCCAGGACTTCGAGACCCCCCGACATGAGCCGCAGCAGGGCCCGAAAAGTGCCCCGAGAGGCCCCACGGGTGCCCAAGAGAGCCCCTAAAATGGCTCTTGTCGTCCTTCAAGAACCTCTCACAGCAACATACCTCAAAAGCCCGACTTTTCATCCTCATTGTCATCGTCCGCTCCTCCCCTCCTCTCCTGCCTCCTCCCTTCTCCTCCTCCTCCTCCTTGTACTTCTCCTCTTCCTCCTCCCCCTCCTCCTCTTCCTCCTCCTCCCTCCTCCTCCTCCTCCTCCTCCTCCTCCTCCTCCTCCTCCTCCTCATCCTCATCCTCATCCTCCTCATCATGATCATGATCATGATCATGATCATGATCATCATCATCATCATCATCATCATCATCATCATCATCATCATCATCATCATCATCATCATCATCATCAACATCAACATCATCATCTTCCTTGCGCCGCATTCCCCCTCCCCTTCCTCCTTCTCCTCCTCCTCCTCCTCCTCTTCGTCCTCCTCCTCCTCCTCCTCCTCCTCATCCTCCTCCTCCACCTCTTGCTCCCAAAAATGGTCCCAGGATGTCGAGCAGGGCTCAAGATAGCTTCCAGCAAACCTGCAAGAGGCCTCAAGAAAGCCACAAGACGGGCCAAGATAGCCGATCCTGGCTCACGATAGCCCCCAAGAGGCCTCAAGGAAGCCCCCAGTCGTGTCTGGATGGGCTGGTGGGGATTTGTTCCGCGGCCAGTGGGGGCTTCGGTGGAGCCCCAATGTGAGGCTGCGAAACTGTCCTGGGTGAAGAAACGCACGCGAACACCGCAACTGCGGCGTTCGGTGGAACTCTCTACGGGGCCACGAAACATTTTACTGGGTGGGGGAAACGCATGCGGACACCGCAACTGGGGCCTTCGGTGGACTTCCCTATGGGGCCACGGAGCGCTGTACTGGGTGACCGAAAAACACGCGGGCACTGCCACTGGGGCGTCTGGTGGAGTTCCATATGGGGCCACGAAGCGCTGTAACTATTGGTGCCATTGGTGGAACCCCCTATGGGGCCACGAAACGGTGTACTGGGTGGGGGAAACGCGTACGAACAAACCATTGGTGCCTTCGGTGGAATTCCCCAGGGGGCCTCTATGGCGCCCCGAAACGCTATACTGGGTGGGGGGAACGCATGCGGACACCGCCACTCGGGCCGTCGGTGGAGCTCCCACTGGGGCCACGAAGCGCTACGCAGGGTGGGGGGAACGCATGCGGACACCACCACTGGGGCCTTCGGTGGAGCCCCATATGGCGCCACGAAACTATATACTGGACGGGGGAACGCAAGCAAACACCGCCACTGGGGCCTTCGGTGGAGCTCCCTATGGGGCCACGGAACCTATTACCGTGCAGGGGAAGCGAATGCGGACACCGCCACTGGGGCCTCAGGTGGAGCTCCCCATTGGGCCATGCAGCGTGTGAGGAGCGTGCCGGCGTGGATGCCCGTGACGCATGCGAGCGGTGGCACTGGGGCCTTCGGTGGAGCCCCCTGTGGGACCACGAAACCTGTGAGGGGAGTGCCGAAATTGGCATGGGTGACGCAAGCGGGCGCTGGCACTCGGGTCTTCGGGGGAGCACCCTATGGAGCCACGGAAACGCGTGAGGGGCGCAAGGTATGGGGCGACCGGGGGGGGGAGGAGGAGGAGGAGAACTGGACTGGACTGGAAAGCTTACGACCCTGGTGAGTTCCACTGAGCTCAACGCCTCGCCAACGAGCACAAGATATGTAGAGGATCTGCGGGTGGCACGGGGCTACCGCCTGCAGCCATGCTGGGAAGAAACCACTGGCCCAAAATAGGACCGTCGAAAATGCAAAAATGGATAGAGCCCGTGACGG